AAAAAAAAAAAAAAAAAAAAAAGACAAGGGCGTCGCCTGGGCTTAACTGGCCATGACCATGGCAAGTTGCTCACCAAAAGTCGTAAGGCCCCCAGGGGCCAAGTCCCACAAGCAGCGTTGAGTTTCCTCAACTCCTGAATCTGGACGTCTTTGTGGAGATGGCCAGTTGAGAAAACTCAACGCCATTTCTGGACCATCTCCACAAACACGACCAGATTCAGGCGTTGAGGAAACTCAACGCTGCTAGTGGGACCTGACCCCAGAGGAGGCACCACAACCCTGCCCTTCAAGTTGCAGGCACAAAAAAAAAACGAGGGCCGATAGAGGTCTTGCACAAAGGGCCTACCAGCAGGGTTGGTCGCCACAAAAAAAAAAAGAAGAAGAAGAAGAAGGAAATTGGACACATCGGCCGTGGAACGATGCCGCGTCTCGTCAAAATGCCTCCGGGTCACAAAAAGAGTTCGAAAATGCACTTTGGGCAAAAAAAAAACAGTTTCAAATTGCACTTCGGGCAATGTATACAAGCTAGATTTCCGGTTAGGTAAGGTCGCGTGTGGGGTGTGTTGTGCTCCGGGGATTGGTCGAACTGTAATAATGACTGGGATGGACGAGCATGCATTTCTTTTTTTTTTTTTTTTAAACGAGCATGCATTTCTTCGCTGTCTCATGAACAATTGAATTGAATTGAATTATTTTCGATGACGGCCATCTCCAGCACTCGGATACCATCCTTTTTTTTTTTTTTTTTTTTTTTTTATTGTAAACATCCCTTGCGGGGGTGCTAGAGGTGCTGATAATGTGCCCAAGGATTTCTAACGTCCTCCTCGTCCTTTTCTCGTTTGCAGGGGTCTAGACAATGTTAGGAGAAATGTGGATCTACTCAAGAATTGTGCCCTTATGCTTCTATTGGTAGGCGGTTTGCGTGACTCTCCCTTCCTTTTCTCTTTGTGTGTTTTTCTTTTCTTTTCTTTTCTTGTGTACTTGTTTCGTATGACCTCGTAACTAGTACGGTTCGCGTTCGGAAATTAAAAAGAAGCAAAAAAAAAAAAAAAAAAAGAAAAGAAACAGGGTTCCTGTTCATTCTGGGCGGCCTTCTTTCTCGTGGACACAGTTCCCTTAATTCACTTTTCTGTTTTTTCCCCCCTTCAAAAATATATGATTCAGTTCCAGTGGGCCCAGTGCCACGAGGTTGAGAAAGTCCCTCTGGTGAATGGCTTTTTTTTCGTTCTTTTATTTTATCTATTTTTTTTTTTTTTTTTCTTAGTTCCCAGAGGTGGATCTAACTGTCTCTGTGGTGGAAGCCTCTTTAGTGTTTGTTTGTTTGTTTGTTTGTTTTTTTTTTTTTTTTTTTTTTTTTTACCTTTGAAATTTAGCTAATTTGTCCAACTGACTCCAACACGATTGTTTCTCTAAGTCCGATCTTTATCGAAACTTCGATAGCATTGTGACAGTCCTCTTTCTGGCTCCCGCAGTCTGGAATACTAGTCGTCAGTCTGCATCAGTCGACCCCCATTTCTGGTATCCAGTTGTGCTTTTGTGCGTGTGCCTCTGTTCATCATTTTAAGTTGCTCCCTTGGCTCTGTTCGAGCATACCGATGCCTGCTTTTCTCCCCCCCCGCCCCCCGCTCCTCCTTAAAAAGTCTCTCTGGTGGGACTTAGGCCCCAGGAAAGAAGAATCGTCGCCAGTTGGACGCTCGGGCAAGTAGTAGGAGGAGGTACCACTGTCCTGCGGCTAGGTCCCACTTGCACGAACGAATGAAGAGATACTGTCCGTCGATAGCAAAGATCAACGGCCCAAATCTCCCTATTTGCGCAAGTGGGACCTTGCCCCTGGACTCAGAGATCTGGGGCTGTTGACTATTATTACCTTCGTCAACAAGTATTTACAAGGATTGTATTACATTACTCCGTGGACATGGAAGGGCCTCGCCCCCAAGCTGATTGCTGCACGGGGCAAAAAATTCATGAAAAGGATGGAGACCGAAATTGTGATGAAGTTCAGACGTGAACATGCATGCTGTGCGGGACCCCTATGGGTGTCGGGGGTCCTGGGTCCTGGATTCTTCGGTTTCAAACCCCTTGATACCGAAGATGAGCGGGTAGAAGAAGTGAAGAATCGCTGCAGGCGGTACCTTGCACCAGCTGGAGCTGTTGGTTCCTCTGCAGAAGGGAAAATTTAAATTTAAATGGAAAATTAATTAACAAAATTTAATGCCGAAGGTGTTTTCTTCCTGGTCTCTTGAGGTAATCCCTACTTCAAGTTAGCTTGCGGGACTTATAGCCAATCGGCTATTGAGCATAGAAGACTGAATTTTTCGAATTTTTCGAAGACATATTTTCTGTGCTCCACTTGCTTGGCCAGTGGAAGTGATTACTTCGGGTACAATTACGGGTTACCTTTTTCGAACGCTAATTTTTTTTATTATTATTTATTTTTTTTTTTAAAGAAAAAAAGGTATCGCATTGCTTTTTAGGAAACAATCCTAGGGGAGGCCTGGGACCTCACAATTCCACCCGGTGAGTGAACAGATTCAGCCAGACCAACCTCGCAGCATGGGCAAAATATGACTAATGAATCTATAAAAACTTGAAAAGAAAATGCCAGCCCAACCTGACGTGGACAAGAAAGCCGACTCTCCTCCATAGTTGATGAATGACCACTCTTGTGTGTTTTTGCAGGAAAGGGAGATCCCGAAGGTGTTTGTTCCCGGAGCAGCAGGCACGGACGAGAACTTGGTCGGTGGGCATCCTTCACCCTTGAGCACTGGAAGCCGATCTCCTGTGTCGACTCTAGTACCCTTTCGAAGCCCGCAAAGGTCTGCAGACGTCTCTCCATTGTCGAATGGCAGCAGCGGAGGTAGAGGGAGCTTGGAGGGGGCTACCGCTGGGGGGGGTGCGGTAGGGGTACCACCTTCTCGCCGCGGTTGCCCTCGCTCCTGTGCTGCAGTTACACTTTTGACGACCTCAAGCAAAGGAAATACCGACCCCTCGGGCTCTTCTTATCCTTTCTCCAAAGGAAACACAGGTCGCGTTCTGTCGGCGTTTGGCACTTGCCTTCCCAAAGCGGGAAACGGATGCGTAGCAGCAGGCCTAGCCCTAGCCGCCTCTTCCTCTCAAATCTCCCAGCAGCAAAGCTCGCAAACTTCCCTACAATCGCATGGTAATTTGCAGATCACGAAGATATCTCAGACTGCTGACAACTCCCGCAATTCTCTAAGTTCAGAGACCACTGAGCCTCGGCCACGTGGGGTATCAGGAGCCACAGCATGCGAAGCTCCCTCCCTCCCTGCCCAGCGGCAGCAGCAGCAGCAGCACACTTCCTTGGCTTTCCCATCGACTGCGTCGGAGGCTAGAGTGCCGGATGCTTCTTCCGCATCTGCCCTCAGCTGTGCGAGCACCGTCCGGTCTCGCGTGGCTATGTTCGAGCAAGCAGCCTCGCTAGCAATGACCTGCAGTCGGCAGGGCGTGTCGGAGTCCCTCAGGGCTTTCGATGCTCGCACCGCTAGGCGGCCTCCGGCCTTGCAGGCGGAAGCAGATCCCTTGCGTGGGGTTGTAGCCTGCAGACTGACACATGCAGGTCGGACTAACAACGCCGCCAACCTTTCTGCTGCGGGTAATGCCGTCCGTCCTGATGGACTTGCGAGTGCAATGGGAGGGGGAGGGGGAGGAGGAGGGGGAGGTGGTGCTTCTGCTGCGCTCGTTGTTGGCGTCAAGATGTCCGTCGACGACAGTGCTCTTCCGGAAGTGGGAAGGAAACATGACGACTCCCTCCATGATGGCTGCTCGGGCATTGCGAGCAACAATGGGCTTTCCATCGTTGCAGCCCAAGGTGGAGGGCCATCCACCAGAGTCTCAAGACATCGACGGTTCGCCTCTTGGTCCCATTCCCGAGATCTGCCGCAGTTCGAGGACATTAGAATCGCCGAAGGAAACGCCGCCAAGGAGCGAGAGGATGACGTGCTGGCCGTTGACGTCAACAGCCTTGCTCGTCGTCCCACTGCAATCAAGGAGGTGGAGGTGGAGGCCCCGTTGCACCGAACAGGCTTTTGTAATGACGTCAACGTAAAGGGGGGCTTGTCGAAGAAGGTGATGATGCCGAACGGGAACTGTCTTCCGACCGTCGAAGAGCTGATACCGGATGTCCTCCAGAACGCAATTTCGTTGACGTCATCGGGTGTGGCGACGACGAACGTGTCTGCTGGTTCGGTGGCCACGACGGTGAGCAGCGGAGGCAGCTCCCCGGTGGGAAGTCATGCTAGCTTCTTCTCGAACGACATGGCCACCTCCTCCATGTACACGTCGTCCTTGTCGGTATCTCCGTTATCGTCGACAACAGAAGAATCGACAAAACGTGGGAGAAGAGAGGAGTGCCGAGAAAGAGGAGAGAGAGGGCAAAGAGGAGAAAAAGAGGAGGAGAACAATGCAGAGAGTGGAAGTCAAAACGGTTTGGCAGATTACGGTATGCACAAGGAGCGCAGGAGTCAAATCAACTTAACGACCGCCGGCGTCAGTTCGAGACCTCCTCGATCGTCAGGTCTCGCTTCAGGTGGAGCTTTTACCCTTGGAAGCAGGAAGAGTGCCATAGGAGGAGGAGGAGGAGAGGAGGAGGGGGGCCTATCATCGAGATCTCAGGGAATGGCTATGCCTGCAACCTCTTCTTCGTCCTCAGGTACCAGCTCCTTGTCCGCACTGGATCTTGGTGGGCGGGTTGGGTATTCTTCTGGGCACGAGCAACGACTACCTAGGCAGCCACAGCGTCCTCAGGAACTGAAAGAGTCATCTCACCCTTCGCTGATATCAGATATGTCCTCCTACCTCCTCTCCTCCTCCTCTGAGTACGCTCCTAGCAGCCTCCCATCCTGCCTCGGAGGAGACAGGAAGCGCAGCTTCGTCTCCAAGTCCTACCAGACTTCGACTACCTCTGTCACACAAATCGAGGCGGTTACAAACGTGGTAGGTTTTCATGTCGGAGAGAATATTCCAGAAGGTGGCTCGACGACTGCTGTTGCTCCATCTCAGCGGTCGGGATACGGACTATCTGTCTACAGCAATGGCCCTCACGCTGGGATCTCAAAGCTGCCAAGTGCTGCAAATCTGGGCAATCCATATGCGCCCACCCCTCTTTCAGAGAGGAACGGGGGTCCACCTCCACAATCGCATCTCTTGCCCCCAAGGTCAGCAGCGGCGCTAGGGCTAGGACTAGGGATAGGAGGAGGAGGAGGAGGAGGGAAGGCCTCCACTCATTCTAGATCGACCAGGTTCGAAGAACTCGACGATGAATTTGATCTGCCTTTTGTACAAGATGCACGCGATGTCGTTCATGCGCAGCTCAAGGCAGAAATGGACAGGAGCTTGTGGGGTGGGAAGAGGATCGCCATAAGTTACAACGGACAGCCTCTCAACGTGAAGGAGGAGAATGCACTTCTCCGAGAATCTGTAGGAGATTCATTCGCTTTCGATGCATCGGGCAAACCCACCTTCACCATACTGCTGGAGCCATCCTCCTTCACGCTGGAGCTTGTTAGGACATGTGACACGCTGGTGGCGTCCAAAGTGCGCAACTTCGGCGGCAGGTCTTCATGGCAGCCTACTGTAATCTCAAGGAACGGAGAGCCGGAGGCGATAAGAATCAGGTTGGTGACGAACCTCTACTACGCATGCGGCAGACCTGTTCTTTTTTTTTTTTTTGGGGGGGGGGTGTCATTTGCTCTCTCTTTAAAAAAAAAACAAAAGAAAACAGTTCCTTTTGAGATGTTGTTGATGCAAGCTGTAACTGCTTTAACCTCTCGAGTTAACTACGGGGTGATCTGTCTATTTGTTGTTGATTGCGGTCTTCCCTACGTCTGCTCTTTTGGATTGTTCTTCCCTTTCCCCTTCTCTTTTTGTCTCTTTCTCTCCCACACCCTGTACTAGTTCCACCTCAACTTCAGTTTGTCCACCTCCTCTGTTCTCTTCTTACCCCTTCACCGCATTTCCTCGTCCGGGTTTCTCCTTCTTCTTCTTCTTCTTCTTCTTCTTCTTCTTCTGCTGCTGCTGCTGCTGCTGCTGCCGCTGCTGCTGCTGCTGCTGCTGCTGCTTCTGCTTCTTCTTCTGCGGCTGCTGCTGATGCTGATGCTTCTGCCCTTCTTCTGCTGCTTCTGTAAACTGCTTTAACCTCGAGTTAATGCGCTAATCTGTATATTTGTTGATTGTGGTCTTCTCTACATCCGCTCTTACCTCCGTGTCGTACGCCTCTCCTTATCGTCAACTTGTTCCGGCGCAGCTTCCCCCTCTGCATCTTCTTGTTTGTGTTCTTGAAAAGCCACTAGAAGTTGTGGCGGGGTCATCGCTGTATCTCTTTCTACTAGAATGCACATTTCCTTTTCTATTTTTCACCGTTGCCCGCTCTTCTGCTCGTTCCTGCTGCTGTCTTCTCTACCCTCGACATCCTACACCTGCTTTTACCCTTTATCCCTCCTCGTTATTCGGCTATTTCTTCGCTTTCCGATCTCCTCCTTGGCAATGTGCTGATTCTTTTGTCTATCGAGTTTCTTCTTGTTGCGTGGATTGACGTTTGCATCCATTGGCACGATGTGCTGTGCTTTTCGTTTCCTCTGTCGTTTGCTGTCTTGTGCAGAATTGGAACTGCCGGAGTCAAGGGTTCGGCCACCTATACAACTGGGTTTTTCCGCCGAAGGCCCTTCGGTCTGTCGCTGGAGAGGCTAGCTGTGAACTGTGTCGATCCGTCTGTCTTCAGGGAGATCCTTCCCACCGGCTCGTTGGTTGACGTCATCTTCAGTTTCGAAGCGTATGACTTCCAAGGCTACACGGGAGTCCGACTGCTGGCGCACAAGATCACACTCATTTAGACTATACATTCGTGTATAGTCGTAGCTAAAGTCGTATAGTGTACGAAGCGCTAGCGCGTCCGATGATGGCAAAACTCGCCAGAATAGAATATTAACTGTTTGGTACGCAAAATAGATAAGACTGTTGTCTATTGTTTCCCTTGCCAGTAGTTTCAAGTCTTCAAGGTCATTCTATACTCTTTTCAATCTAGACCAGAGACTAAACTACGGCGGCGACTACAGTCTCGACAGAAATATAGATGTTAACCAAACCAAAATGTCGGGCTATAGCTTGTGGACTAAAGCCCTCCTTTCACTTTTATTTCCAATTGATTACGCTGATCAGCGTTTCCTTTTCCCAATCATTACACCCCCCTCCCTCCTCCCCCTCCTCCTCGCTTGACTTTGCCGACCCTTGTGTACTTACCACGGATTCGTGCTGTTGTCCGCAAAGGGGCGTTGCACGTCCACAAGCTTTAGGATCGGCAGAATTGCAACTCAGAGAGAGAGAGAGAGAGAGAGAGAGAGAGAGAGAGAGAGAGAGAGAGAGAGAGAGAGAGAGAGAGNAGAGAGAGAGGGAGAGAGAGAGAGAGAGAGAGAGAGAGAGAGAGAGGGAGGGAGGAAGGCAATGGGAAAAGCGGTGAAGATTTTGGAAGAGAGGGAGAGTGGGAGGGAGGCAAGCAGATGAACGAAAGCTTACATTCAAGAGGAAGATGAAATGGGAAATTGGAAAGGAGCTGGACAAGGATTGACGAGGAGCGGGAGGAAACGAAAAGAAGAAATAGCGAAGAAGCAGATCGAGAGCAAATGTGAAATGGACGAAAGGGAGCGGAAGGAAGGGCCAAGAAGCAGAAATATGGGCAAATGGGAAGAACTGGTCATCGGACGTCGAAAGACTCGGAAGCCCTGCAGACTCAGGCTCTTGTGGCCACAATCTAGGCAGCAGCAGAAATGTCCGAGCTGCCGACAAAGAGAGTAAGTGCATCTGCATCTCTACCGTTCAATCTGTGGATGGAATTTTTAAGGAGAGACTCGTGTTATTGACGAGATAGCCACTGTCGCTGCTCTTGTAGAATGATTTGCGAGTTTGTACAGCTGGCTGCGTTCTTGATCTGCGCAGCTCCCCCCCCCCTCCTCTCTATGTGCCCCTTCTCTACCTTTCATTTTCTCATGCCCATTGCGGGGGCTACCGATGCCACAGCAGTAGTCAGGAAGTTGTGGGAGGAAGCCTCACACAAAATATTTTGGTCTTAATTGCTCCTCCTTTAACTGATTGGCTGTACTTCGATGTTGACGTCGTTAGCATTCCCTCGACACCGATGGGAACGCAATCAGCAGCTAGGAAACTGATCACGTAGGGAAGTACTCAAATACACTTGTCCTGCCGGACAGGTACATCATTTTTGTGGGTGAGTATGCCCTCCTTACTTGCCTCCCCGTTTGCCTCTCTGTGTGTGTGTGTGTGTGTGTGTGTGTGTGTGCGTGTGTGCGTGTGTGTGTGTGTGTGTGTGTGTGTGTGTGTGTATTTACACTTTTTCTTATTAATTCTTTCCCTGTAATCTGTTAAGGGCACACTTGAAGTCCTTTTTTGCCGGTCACTGGTTATCGTAAGATGGACGTTGCAGTCGAGGGTAGACTTCAAATTCTTTAATCGCCATTTAATCAACTCGTCAACACTTGTTACATAGCTGGAAGTAAATGGCGAGCTTTTTCACGGCCAAATAACCTAACCGGTGACTTGGTACTCGGTACGGAATGATTCCTTGTCATTGATTAGTATGATTAGCAATGCTACTTCGACTTGTACGCGAACTTACGGGGAGACTTCAGCTTGTGCCAGCTTCAACTCTGCAACGTGTGTGATGAAGGAGGGCTCCTTCTGCTCTTTGGACTGTGGATCTGTCTGCAAGGACTTTTTCTTCCCTACAGTGCCGTACGCAGTCGGCCCAGTCCGCTTCAGCAAACACTTGCTTCATTGGATATGCATCAAATCTTTCACCCTACAGTACCAGCTGGCGCGTTCGATATGCTCTGAAGCCTGCAGCCGCCTTGCCACCGTCTTCCCCCGGACATAACGCACCGGGCCCTGAAAATGAATGTATATGCGCTATATTTCCGGCTCGGTACAGCTGCCATAAGCAGGGTGCGTTGTGTTTGGGGGAAGACGAGTAGGCTTGGTCCTTCGAAAGGGGTATTCTCATCCCCCCAACAAGTCTTGGCCAGTGGGGGTCGTCTCCGCAAAGGCCGTTGGGCTTTAATCTGTTAATACAGGGTTGCAGATCCTTTTAAACCTGCAAGTATATCTGCGACCAATGCGTGGTGTAGCGGGAGAGCACGCTGGAACTGGAGAGGACACTAGAGCTGGAACTGGAGAGGACGCTGGAAGTGGAGAGGACACTAGAGCTGGAACGTGGTGTAGCGGGAGAGCACGCTGGAACTGGAGAGGACACTAGAACTGGAACGTGAGGGGGAGGGGAGAGGACGTGGGTTACTTGGTTTAGGGTTTAGGGTTTAGGGTTTTTCACATTGCGGGCCCCCAAGGTCCAGTGTCCCACTTCGTGGCCACAAGTCCTCAGCATTTCTCTGTGTTCTTTGGGCCCGCGATGTGGGGCCGAAAATGGTACGAGATAGCGACCATGGATGGAGCTCAAACGTGCACAGGGAGGGGATACTGGGGGTGGCAATTGTGCGGGACCTGCTCGGGTATGCTCTCTCTTACCTCTTGTCACTCACGAGGGAGACTGGGGAGAAGGAGGGAACGGGGGGAGCGGATTTGGGATAATGAGGTTCGCAGAGGGGTTATGGACGAAGGATGAGCACCAGCCATCTGCCAATGGATGAGGTTTCTCCCCCAGCTGCTGCAGACACTGGGCACAAACTTTTTTTTCTGAAGGGGTCAGGCGTCGGCAAGCATAATCGGACATCATGGAATGAGGTCTGTACCTTTGCTACCACTAGTGCTGTCGTGGAAGAAGCCCGAAAATAGGGCCGGCAGCAGGGTTAAAAACCCAGAGTGGGATTGTTTTGTTGGCTGTATGATACCGAGTACGATTGATATAGCCGGGTGCCATTTTTTAAGTTTTTTTTCTTTGTTTTTGCTTTTTTTGGAGAGAGCCGGGGTGCTTTTTGTGACATTTCTAGTATAGATATTGCAAACCATATTGAGGCAACTGTAAACGGGCTAGCTTGAGGGCTCGTGTAATAATACTAACGGTATATGGGACCCTTCCCCTCCAAAGAAAGAGAGAGAGAGAGAGAGAGAGAGAGAGAGAGAGAGAGAGAGAGAGAGAGAGAGAGAGAGAGA